ACTTAAGAAACTATAATATAAATACTCAAATCAATAAAATTCATATAATTTAAGGGTACAAAAGTAAATTATTTTAGTATAAAATTGTCAATATCTAAACATTGAAACACTAGCATAAAATTGTCAATACCAAAAAAATAGAAACATATGCTCATTTTCTTATCTAAGACGCGAACAAATACCAATCCAACCAAATTGTTCATTTAGTGGGAGTTTAAGGAAGTGTTTTGAAAATTATGAACTTCATATATATGTTAATATAAACTAACATAACTACATGAAATGAGGGTAAATGCAATCATGATTGTCCTTTGTCAGTACTTGAAGTAAGATGTTAGTTCTTTCTTTGATGTTGGATTTGTAAAATTGTTCTCATCCTCCACTCAAATAATTGTAAAAAGGAATTTCAGTTATTGAATAAGATTACATTGAAATATGTTGTCTATAAAATCCACTAAATTCATATGATTTTCATTCTTTAATAGAGCAATATCACAAAATTCAATAGGTAATCCTTGTAAAAAAAAAAAAAACTAACTTGTAAATTGTTATTTATATTTACATATAAAAGATTTGCATTTAAAATAATATAAAAATTAAAAAAATTACTTGTTGAAATTAATCGTTTTGGTCACAAAGACAATTTTGTCATCGAAACACTCAATATTTCTCTTCTCTCTATCTTTTTGGTGTGTTTAGTTTCTTCAATGAATACATACATCCTCTAGAAGTGTCTCCTTCTTTTTAACCTAGCGATAGGGCCTCATGACCTTGATTTTTTGACTTGTTTTTCCTAATCCTTGATCTCAACACTTTTTAGTTACGTCTGTGATTACTGAATTTCGCATATATCAGATACACTTATCTTATCAAGTAATGATTTATATCTTTTATCTAGTATTTTAGTTGAGTCATTGTAATTGGTGAGATAGATTAGTCCAATACTCTCTTATGACAAGCTTGATCAGCATTTGGGTAATAAGGTCGATAAATCATTTGCTTATGAGGATATAGATTTATATCTTTTGTTTAGTGTTATAGTCGAGTTATTGTAATTTATGAGATAGATCGACTGGCTATCCTCCTATGACAAGTAGGATTAGAATTTAGGTAGCATAACAAGATCGATCAACCCTAGACTTATAAGAACATGGTCAATCGATCCTCGACCTATAAGGGTACATGAATAAATTTAAATTAAAAATTTAACTAATATTATAAGTAATTTTTTTTATTAATTTTGACATATATTAAAAATGAATATATATATATATATATATATATATATATATTGTAAACTAAAAATGAAATATTAATTTTCATTATGAATTTATAATGTTTGCAACTAATTTATAATGGTTGTAATTAATTAACGCATGCTTTAATTTTTGTTAAGAACTTCAATATGTTAATGGTGTAAATAAAAATATTTTAATATGCTAATTATTCAAGAAAGATTCTAGAATAAGAACAACCACTAATATGGAAAAATTAACATGTCTTGATAATTATCTTCTTTTTTTTATATGGAAAAATTAACATGTCTTGATAATTATCTTTTTTTTTATGGAAAAATTAACATGTCTTGATAATATTTTCGATTTAATATTATTATTTTTATATTATATTAATATATATATATATATATATATAATTTGGTATAACATGATTATAATGTTATTAAATTAATTAGAGTCGAACTATTAGTAAAATTGTTAAAAAAAATTGTTAGAATGAATAAATTTAAACCAACTAATAATAGAAAAAAAAATTATTTATTTATTATTGTTAATATATATACATATATATATAGTAAAAATGAAATATTATTTTTCATTATAAATTTATACACCTAAATGATTTTAATTTATATTTGATTTTAATTACTTATATCATATCTTGTTTTTTTTAATGATTTTAATATGTCAATTATTCTGGAAGAATTTTAGAATGAGTACAATAATTAATGTGAAAAATAATTAATGTATTTTGATTTTTTTAAAGAAAATGATAGAAGAAAGAAAAAACAAGATAAAATATTATAATGGATCGAGTATTATTAAGATTAAGATGAGTTTGAATCAGAATACTAATTGCAATATATATCATTTATTAGGATATATGAAATTATAAACAGAAAATCTATATTTTTTTATGATCTCATTTCTATTTTTTATGCTATCATTGTAAAGTACATATTTATATTATTTTAAATTTTAAAAATATTAAATTGTAAGAATATATTTTAACTTAATTGAAATATAAATGCCATTAAGTAATTTTTTAAAAATGTTTATATAATTAAATTACCCTCACTGATAAAAAAAAAAAAAAAACTAACATAAATACACTTGAGTTTAATTTTTTTGTTCTTACTTTTCTTAATTTGACCCCAAATTCACCCTATCTCTTATGGGTAGGGATGACAATGAGTAGAGTTTCAATAGAGTCTTATAGTATCTACCCTTACATTCGTGTTTAAAAATAATATTCGTACCGAGTTTCGTATCTAAATAGATAGCGATTTTAATCTTCATCCCTATATCCGTTAGGTATATGTATATCCATACCCACGTCTACGACCTGCAATTTACTTATGTATAAAGTAAATAAATCAATCAAGAGATAACATTTTACATAAGCAAACAAAATATTAATTTGTTAGGTTTTTAATATTACAAAAATCTAGTGTAACAATTCTTATAAATAAATATTACAAAACATTCAATTCTTGTAAATAAACTTTAAAAAAAAATCAACATAATAAAAGTTGTAATTAAACTTTCAACGTTATGATTATGCGTTAACAATGTTCTCCATGACTTGTGAAAAACATTATACAAAAATTAGTTAGATTAAATTATATATTATAAAATTTAAAAAATAAATACGTAGCCATTTGACATCATCATCATAATCAATTTCTTCATATTTTTGCAAATATTTGTCTTTCAAGTCTATATATATATATATATATATAGTTTTGGTCTAGTAATATCAATAGAAACTACATGACAAGAAAATGAATGATTAGACAATTTAAATTAATAATTAAAATCAACAATAAAAATAAAATAATTTTTATTAAATAAATAAGGTTTAATCATTTATTGCCTTGCCTCATATGTTTCAAACAACTTTGTGCACACATAAGTGTCTTCTAGGTAAATTCATGGAGCCTAAAATGATGAGTACTAAAAGATCTACCTTTTGTGTTAATGCAAATTTTAAAGTTACGATTGAAATTGAAATTAATTACCAAAACATCCTTAGCAATTTTTTTCAAAATGGGATACTTTATCCCATTTGTTTTCTCCCATTTAAAAATGTCAAAAGTAGTACTCCTAAACAAAAAAATTTTCTTTCAAATAGAGCTCTATTTTAGACTTTATTTGTGTTTCAATTATATTATTCACAAATGAGTCATAATTACTAAAAAAATTACCAATTTTTGGATTATCTAAATTTGATTTATTAACATTTATTCGTAAAGTTGAATTTTTCACTATTCTCTTAACTTTAATTTGATACTCTTTAAATAATAAGTAACATAATTTCTTAATATTATTAATTTCAATTAAAAATGAGTTACCATAATGCTTAAAAAAATACTCTAAGAACTTCAACTTATATCTTAGATATAAAATAATAGTAATATTATTATATTAATTAATATATATGTATATATATAAGTGGGTCTATATTTGCCCCCATCCATCCCATATAAACAGGTATTTGACTATTCAGATGAGAATATTTTTACAGATATCCGTAGAATTCGAATCCATTTTACCATTCTTACTTATGAGAATAAGAGTGGGAACTTAGAAGGTTAAACTCACCCATTGTTATACCTAATCAAAACATCTTAATGTTGAAGAATTATTGTAATATAGTTATAAAATTGTTCTTATATCTTATGTGCACAATTTTTATCCAAAATTTTTGATAAATAAATACTCAACAACTATTTCGTTATAGAAATATAAGAGTTGTAGACAGATATATTATCTATTTGTTTTAGTTAAAGAAAATACAATTTTTTACTAACTAATATGATATCTTTAATAATGTTTCGTGTTTTGTTTTAAAAATGACTTTTTATATTTTTAGTAACAATTATAGGTAAGAAGCTAGGGTGGGTGATCCACGATGGATCATGATTTGTAACTGTCAGATTAATCTAATCTAATAAATTTTATTTGCATCAATCACACAATATTATTTTTCCTTTTCTCCCTATTCTATTCTCACCCATTCTGCCCTCCCCGGACCGGAACATAACATTAGTGGCCATGGCTATAAAAGATTTAATTGATATGTAAAGCTGTTCTATGGTAACTTATGTTGCAACTTTACTGTTGTTTACGAGAAAATTGCAACATATAAAAGCTATCTATCATGTGTTTTAAAATAAAAGTTAAATATATTTTTAGTTAATATGTAAATTAAGCGAGTTTTATTTTTGGTTCCATAATTTTTATGTTTTTTATCTTCTAAAATTTATAGATGTTATTTTTGGTCTTATAAAATGAACAAATTTTAGTTTTGTTCCTTGTTAAAATTTTTCTTTAATTTTTATCCCTTTAAAATTTTAAGTTACTATTTTATCCTAAATGACCATTTTAAAGTATATAGAACACTTATTTTAAAAATATATAAGAAAATCATAGAAATATCATATGTAAATAAAGTATAGTTACATAACTTTCTAATAAACACATTAGTTAAAAGATGTCACGTATAATAATAAAAATTAAAATAATAATTTCAAATTTTAGATCATAAAAAAATTACAAAAATTAAAATCAAAACATATTCATTTTACAAGAACTAAAATCGTATTTAAATTTAAAAAAAAAATTATAACCGCTAACAGTGAAAATGTTCCAACTATAAAAGCCTTTACTTATATGTTTTAGAAACAACTTTTTAATTCTAAACAAGAAAAAAATGCTCAAAAGAATATACGTATACATGTTGTAGCTAGTAAAATTAGATAATAGTAACAAAACAGGAGAAGCAACTTCCTGTCATCTTTATTCACGTCAGAAACATATATAGCAAACATTAGGCATAGATCTTAATCCACTTCGCACAACCTACACATTTATTTGATAAAATACAAATAAAAGCAAACAGAAAAATCATTGACAATATTAATTATGGGGTAGTGGCGAGTTGATTCACTGAGGAATCTTATTGAGCTTGCAGTAAGCATAATCTTTGTACTTCTTGGTCTTATATTTTGGTGGATTGGCTTCGTTAACAAGGTTTGGGTGAGGACCAACTTGGTGGTCTGCTTTGGGCTCTATGAACACTGGCCACGACATTCTTGTCTTCTCTTTGTTCACTGTTGTTCTGTGGAAAACGGCCTTATATTCTCCATTGCTCAGTATCTACACCACCATTAAATAAAGTAAATATCATTGTTTAAAATTTAATAATTAATTTTATAGTTTTGTACAAGTACTTAATAAGAAAATTATATAATGAAGACTAGAGCATGCATGATAGTAATAATTAAGATACGTATATGGTATGGGACATGGGTACGTACCTCCATTTGGTCACCAATGTGAATGACGAGGGCATTGGGGACATACTTAACATCGTACCAGTGACCATCTCTGAAGGCTTGAAGGCCCTGCACCTCGTTGGGGACAAGAATGGTGAGGTAGGACATGTCTGTGTGTGGTGGCACACCCAGAACCAGATCAGGACATGGACAAGGTGGGTAATAGTTGATTTTTAGAAGGTAATGCATCTCATCATCTCCATTTGCAGCCTCCTTTAGCTCATTTTCTTCAAGACCCAGCCCTATTGACATGCTTTTCAACAGTTTCTCTACCACCTCACGTATGAACATGCAGTATTCCTCATTCACTTCCCTACCAGAAAATTAACTCTCTTTTGTTAAATAATAATTAACTCATCGTTTATCAACATAATTTTATATATAAAAGGTTATTATTCATAAAAAAATTAGTGTAAATAGTGTACCAACAGACCTTTTTTATACAAACATTTTTAAGAGTTTTAGTATTGAAAATAAAAAGTATTTCTTGATAGAAAAATTTTTAAAAAATGTTTCTAAACTTGTATTCATACAAATTTCAAGTCTATGAAGGAAAATTATGCTTTGTTTGCAAAAAGGAAGAATGGAAGAGAATAAAAAAAATATGTGAGAATTGATTGATAGTAACTATATTTTTACCTTTTATTAACTTTTTTTCAAATTATACATTTAGACAATAGTGTAGAATAGTTTTATCTAAACATTTTTTTTATTAAAAATTTCACACAAATTCACTTATAAAATAGTAAAATTAAATTCACATAAATTTTACCATAATATTCTCATAAATATGCATTAATCCTCTCCTCCAAACACACCTTTTTTTTCTTCTAATTTTTTAATATTTCTCCAATTCTTCTCCATTCTATATTAAATCACCTCCAAACACAAAACTAGTAATGTAACTCTTATGAACTTGAGCTTTAAGGAAAATTATGAATAATATATATATAAAAGGAGAGATTCATTTATTTTATGAGTTAATCTATCTAAACTTATTTTGTTTAATAATTTATATTCTATATCAAATTTTAACGATTCATTCATTAATTTAAAAGTTTTTAATACTTAAATTAAATCTGTAAATTTTTTAAAAAATTTAAAAATTATTTGATATTTTATTTTATTAATTCAAATCAACATTTGAAATATTTTTATAATTATCTATTAATTTAATAAAATAAAATATCAAAGAGTTTTCAAAAAATTTAAAAATTTGTATACTTGATCTTGATTATACATAACTTTAAATTTAACAGTTGATTTGATATAAAAAATAAATTATTAAATAAATTAAATTTAAGTAAATTTACTCATGAAATAAATAGATTATATATATAAATATATAAATATATATAATGATGTGTGTGAGAGTACTATGATTAATATTTTATCTTCTTCTTATTCATCTTTTTAATTATTCATCATGTCACGTATTATATTTGTTATTATTTTTTATCTCTCCTTTATTATTATTTTTTTGGACGCATATTCACTTTACTGATTGAATTAAAATCATTGGCAACAAAAATTGGAGAGTGATGTTTATGAGAAGGTGGTTGGGTTGGACTGAGAGTGGAAAGGTCATGGCAGTGACAACTTGACAACGACTTTCCTGTTGAAATAACATCAATGAATAGACACAAAGGGGCCTGCCATATTCTACCTTACTTTATTTTTACTATTCTTTCTGATTTTAAATACAAGTAAAAATAATTTTTTGTTAATTAAGAAAATTAGTTAATATTTTTAACTTTATTAATTTAATTTAAAATATAATCTATTTTTCAAAATTATCATTTCCTAAAATTTAAATGTTAACAATAGGAAAAATTATTGAAAATACAATTTTAATTAAATGAATGAGTAATTTATAAATAATAGTATTAAATAAAATAAAATTAGTTAGTTAATATTTGAAATCAATGTCTTTTTTAGTGTTCGAAACTAGAAAGAATATATATTAATGTCTAATATCTTTATATTAGATAACTTAATAAATGAAAAATTACTAAATAGCTTAATGAATATTAATGTTCGAATATGGAGAGATTATATATTAGTGTTTGAAACTATGATGATGTTACTCTATTAAAAAAAAAGTAAATAATTTATGATATATATTAAATTTTAACAATAAAATAATTAAATTAAATAATTTTATTGAATAAATAAATTTATAAATTTTTATAAAATTTAAAAATTATTTAAAATTTTATTGTGTCAATTCAAATTAACATATATTTATAAAAAAACATACTATATCATAATTTGATTTTATATTATACTCTATCAATCCCGATCTTTTGTCATGAAATTCTGAATATCCATAAGCTCATTTATGATAAAAATTATATATATTAAAAATAATAAAAGAATAGTTTTATAATAAAAAATAATAAAATTAAATATTTTTATTTATTATTTTCAATATAATTATTTCTTAAAAAAATAAATTTTATTTTATTTTTGTATTTAACTTTTATCAAACAATATTTTTTACCGTCTATTTATTAATTTTTATTCTCTTTTTCCTATTTTTTTTTATCTAACATGACCAACTCAAAATTCCTCACCTTGTTTAAATTACTACTCCATTACATACTCCTTTCGTTCCATTTAATTTTATATTTTAGTAGTTATTTTTTACTTCAATTAAAAATTGTTGTTAATTTTACAAAATTAATGTAATATTAAATATTTTCTTGTAATACTCTTAATGATTTTAATAAAAATAAAAAAATAAATATATATTGAAAAGTTACCTAATGTATTTTATCATGTCATGCGTATGAATTACAGTATTTGGTTGTTCTTCTGTTCATGAGATTTGTCCAGGCTGTTTGGCCATGTTGTTTTAGTAGTTTTATGCCTTCCCATGTCTTTAAAAAATTTAGCATTTGCAGAAAGTCAGAAACTTGCTTTTCCCACTAAGAGCAGCATTTATTATTATAAAACAGAGGACTATCACGTGTAAACCCCCATTCATTCCGCAATGAATAAAGTAAGGAACACGCTCTGAACGTGACAAATATTAAACTCCATACTCAAATACTTTTATCATTAGAATTAAAAATTCATAATATTTTATTTCTTTTAAATTTTATATATTTTAAATTATTTTTAATCAATTTTTATTATCGATCAATCTCCTTTTTATTGAAATATTTATGATTTTAATTTCTGTAAACTACGTATGTAAAAAAATGCTCAAAATACTTTTTTTTATAAGATAAACTTATATTCTCAAAAAATCTAATCATATACTCCATCTATTAATAATTATCCTGAAGCAAAAAAAGAAAATGTTTGTTTATATGAGAGACAGTATATAAAAATAGTTAAGTAAAATTTATAAATTATTTCTTATACAAAAGTTAGAGAGAATTATTTATTTATTTATTTAAACTGCAAGTGAACTTGTTATAAACCTCTACAATCAACATCCACGTATACTTATGTCTAACCCTAATCTGATTTGGATGGATTTTTTTTTTTTTTTGTTGGAAGTTTTGATCAATATAACACGTATCACTTCATGCTAATTCCCTTAGAAACTGAAATTATCTATTTCCATTTTATCCTTTACTAATTTTTCAATAAAATAGTAACACGCTACTGAAAAATTTTCGTTTTTAATAATAACATATTATTTTATCTTCATTATTACTTTATTTACTCTAAAATATTATTTTTCTACCGGACAAAACAAATCACGCAAAGAACATTTAATGTCCATCCCATAAGATTAGGCATCAAGCATGGGTGGAGACAAAAATTTATTGCCGTAACATACATTTATTTTTTTATTAATGTAACTTTTTATATTTTGTGTTATTTTTTTTAACTATATTATTAATATAAAATATTTATCAACTTTATTCATGATTAATTAGGATTTATTTTTTCAATCACATATCTTTTATTGACAAAACTCAAATTTGAGATCTTATAAAAGGAGATTAAATTTAGTTTTACTCAAATAAATGATTTTTTTTCTTACTACACGTAATTTCTAATCTACTAAATCAAGATATTAAGATCACTATTAATTTCAAGGACAGATCCATGTGAAGTTCAATGAGGACAATTGCCCCCCCCCACAAAATTTTACATTTAATTATATATACTTAAAAAAATAATTTTTTTTGTCTTAAAAAAATAAGTATTATCTTCATAAAATAAGTTTTTTAAATGAGTACAAAAAATTATAAAAGGTAAAAAAAAATACTAATTTTATTACTTTTAACCTTCTAATTTTTAACATTTTAACTTTTTATCTATGACAACAATAAAATGATTTGAGATTAAGATCTAATGTATACTATTTCAATCCTGGACCACTAAGTTAACCTAATAGTTTCATTTCGCTTCTTTAATATTAAACAAGTTATAAAAGATTACAAATATAAATTTTATTAGAATCACAAATTAAAGAGAAAAAAATAAAAATTATCGTTCTAATCATTAAAAATCCTAATTTATAATTTATTTTGATATTTTAGATTCTTTTTGTCACAAAAATATGTATTTTGTAAAAGAATTATTATATTTTTCTTATATATAAATATTATAGATTATTTTTTTGTCCCCATTAAAAAAAAAATCTACATCCAGCACGTCACTGATTAATTCGATGAATTTTCATCATAAAATAAACCATCTTCTTAACATATCAGTACAAGAATATTCTTAATTAATCAGTATGTGAATCCAGATTTGTTATATATTATTAGAATAAAAGTTTAATTTATAATCTAAAAAGGAGCAAAAAGAAGAGTGAAGTAATAAGTTTTGTGGTATGGATGGACATATAGAAAGAGAAACGATGAAACTATCTAACCTGTAAGAAGTGGGGTTGTTAGGCCAGAAACGGTAGTTTATGGAAGAAGGTGGCCATATAATGTGGAACAAATGATCGACCCAGCCTTTCTTGCCATTAAGCTCTTTCTGAAGCTTTGTGCCATAGCCTTCCAAGGAATCAGAGCCTGGAGGCTTAGCATACACCTCCTTCTCTTCTTGTGGCAGTTCAAAGAACCCTTTGCCAACACTTTGCAACTTGCTTATGACATGGGTTGGTATATGGTGGTTGACGATTTGGAACATGCCCCATACCCTACTTGCCTCCACTATCTGGGCCACCACTTTGGCTTCATCAGGGTCGCTGAAATCGATGACGGGAACCTCGAGATTGACCCCATGGACGGTTGTGATGCCCGGTTGCTCCGTCTCTGGCCTGAGGAACATGGCGGGGATGGCAGCATCTCCATCTTTGGAGTTGGTGGCTATGTTTTGCACCCGTAGCACCTCCATGTTATGTTGCCTACTATACCTATCTTAATATATATCATGCGAATGTGACATGTTGCCTCTTCAATATTATAGGGGAGCCACTACCTACCAGCAACACCCTATCCACTTACTCATACCATTTCAAAGAATAAATCATAAAATAAATACTTTTTATTTCTTACAACTTCTAATATAAATAAATATATATATATTCGTATCAACACCTTGAGAGAGTGTAATAAAAATAAATATAAATTAAGAGTGTTAACGAGATGTTTCATTTATTTGAATTGATGTTAAAAAAATAAATATGTCGCTCTCATTTAAGATTCTAATAGATTGGATTATATTATTTAAATATCAACTCAAACTAACATATTTATAATATATTATATTATATAATAAACTTCAAAATAAATAATATGAATATAAATATAATATTATGACATATAAAATATTGTTAATTAAATAATTCTTTATTATTATTACAATGTGATTATTTTAAAAATAATATATATTGTCGGTGGTATATATTTTTTTATATTATCATTCAACTGTCATATATAAAATAAGAATATTTTAGTTAAACAGTATATTATCGTTCAGTTTTTCTACACATACACCCTTGGATTTTGAATATATATATATATATATATA